TATATATATATATATATATATATATATATATATATATATATATATATATATATATATATATATATATATATATATATATATATATATATATATATATATATATATATATTATAGTATATATATATATATATATATATATTATAGTATATATATATTTATAATATAGTCATCCACCGTATATGAGCTGTTCTGCAATCTGATTGGTTGAATTACTCGCCGTATATCAGCTCATATACGGCGAGTAGCGAAAAACAAGATGGCGGTCCAAAAACTACATGAGTTTTGCGAAGCAGAAAAAGGAAAATATTCGCTTTGGAAAACATAATAGTACAAGGAAAAACTCTCAAAAAAAATTTGACAGGTTAGCAAAATACATTTATTACGTAGAAATTAGTTTAAATACAAGTTTTTTAAAGAATTAATACCGAAACAACAGCGAAAAAACATGTTCATTGAGAATATAAATTGTTCAGAAAATTTTTGCAATGAACGACAAATGAATTTGCAGTCAACAAGCACTTACTATAGTACCAAACATCTGTATAATATATCTCAGCTTTCCTGCGTGATATAGAGGTTCTAAAACCATTTCTTTCACTTCGTCTTCGAGTTGTAAAACAAAAGTATTTCAAATTTTCAACCGGTTTTTGGCCGAACAAATTGTCAACACATTGTAACAGTGAATAATTAATTACTGCTTCAGTTAATGGCTATATTAGACTATATTATAAAACAATTATACCATTCGCTCTCGTCGTATATGGCTGATAGCCGACTCGGTGCTACGCACCTCGTCGGCTATCAGCTCATATACGACTCGAGCTCATGGTATAATTGTTAAATATATATAGACTTGAAACAGACTGTTATGGTTTTTTGAGGTAAAACGAAAAACTATATTACGCTCTATCTATATGGTATTGAGCACTGTTTGTGTTTCGTAAACCAAAATCTTAAGCTATGTATATATATATATATATATATATATATATATATATATATATATATATATATATATATATATATATATATATATGCATGTTGACAACAACTTTCATAGAGGTCCTTGTCCTGTTGAAGGTTAAAAAAAATTGAGTTTTGCTCAAAAATACATATTTCCCTTCACACTATTTAGATTTCCTATAACCAATCCCAGCCGGCTAAAAAGTGGGATAACAGCAATGAAATGGGCAGACTGGATGCCAACCAAATATTCAGTCATGATTTTTTCTGTGTTGGTGTAATGTACTCAGGTGAATATGTAGACTTTCCAAAGTCCTTTCCAGATCCCTCTATGGCGCGCTTCACTTCCTCTGTGGAAAGGACTTTTGTCACTTGCAGCGCGCCAAATATCACCGGTGGAAAAATCCACCGGTGACGTCATTGTTTACATTGAAGGCCGAAGCGGTTACATTATCGGTCATTATCGAAGGAGTCTGAAAATAACATTATATTCTCATGCTTTTTGTTGAACAAATGTGTATTATTGAAGCAAACAGAGTAAACAATGTAATTACAATTTTGTAGAACACAAAAACCATGTGAAAATACACAAACAAGCATTACATTGAGTAGGCTATATTTAAAAGTACAGGGTGTCGAAATAAACTTTATTAATACTGTCACGTACCGAAGATGCATCTAATGATTCTAAAATTTCCTCACTAGTTTTGGGTTTAGTTTGGGTTTCTTGATCTCGTGATTACTGATTATTAATACAAAATCATTTGTTGAGAAAACAACGCGTATTTTTACAGGATTTTGAACTCTGGCGACGTCTTCTCGTTGATCACAATCGCCGCCTCTCTGCTTCGCGGTTACAGCTAGTTGTCTGATTCTTTTCAATTAAATTAACTTCTAGTACTAATATTAAATCGCTCGCGAACTGAATCAACTTTCTAATAAATTACTATTCTTGTCGGCACAATTACGGCACACATTGTTAGACAAAACAACTGTCTAGATTCAATAAGTTTTTACATGCACTCGTTTTTGTTGATACATTGAACAGCTTTCGACGCTTACTTGGGTCAGTTATTTCGTTTCCACACTCGGTGCAAACTGTTTCATTCGAGGACAAAGAAATATCAATTCTTGAGAATGTTTTTGTGTTTTTGTAGACCAATTGTCGGCGCGGTGAAGTAATTGTATGAAATGTACACATACATTTTATGTCAAAATTATTCGCGCCAAAATTTTTAATGCGATTTAAATTCCTGCAAGGGACACAAGTCGACCACTCGCGACTTCGTCGCTCGGGTCGCGCCTTCTCTCCCCCGCGCCCTCCCTCCCCCATGGTCGACTTGTGGCAAGTCTA